GTGGAGGGCACCGCGGTCAGCTCTGCCAGTGTCGGCCTTCCCATAATGCAGTTGTAGAGGGAGGGACAATCAATGACGAGGAAGCGCACCTTGACTTGCCTCGTAGTCGTATCCTCGCCGAACGTGACCATGAGCTCGACGTATCCCCAAGGCTTGGAGGTCGAGTCGTTAAAGCCCTGCAGGTTCGACCCCACGTATGGTGAGAGGTGAGAGTCGTCGAGCTGCAGGGAACAGCTGGTTGTACATCACGTCGACGAAACTTCCCTCATCGACAAGGACACGATGTACGTCGAAGTTGGCCATTCTCGCCCTTACCAACAGAGGGATGGCTGAATTGGGGCCCCCTCCAAGAAGCTCCTCGATGTAGAAGGTGATTGGTTCTGACCTGCCTCTCACTTTCTCAAAAGTTACCGTTTGAGAGAGGGCCGTGTCGACCAACTCGTCCAGCTTCCTCTTAGTTGAGTTTATGGTCAAATCATTGAACCCTCCACCATTGATGACCATGACGGAGGGGAAGTGTTCTCACCTGTTGTGCATAGACAGAGGTTCTTGCAAGTGTTCGGCGACGTAGAAGTCCTTGGGTCTTGTGATGGAGAACGCGGTTTAGATGGGAACCGACTCGTCAGATGGTCAGGAATCCTCTTCTGCTTCCCTCGTCTCACGGGTATCCCGATGAGGAGCGTTGTTTCTCCGGTACTGTGTGAATCTTCCCCCTTTTATGAGGGTCTCGATGGCGTCCTTGGGGTGGACGCAGTCTTCGATCAGTGCTCGTGGCTCCGATGGTACTGGCAGTATTTGCTTCGGTCCACCCCGGGTTTGGCAGGAGCTGGACGGGGATGTTTGACGCCACCATCCTTGAAATTTGTAGTTGCGCACTCTGTTAAGATGCGCTCACGGGAAACCGTGAGCAGAGTGTATTCTGTGAATCATCCTGAGGGTCCCCTTTGTTCCCGGGCGTCCCGGGGTTTATCTTCCCTTCTCTTTTCCCCGGTTCGTCGAGGAGGGGAAGTGTCTTGTCGCGGATTGTTGTTGTATCTGCGGTTTCTGGGGTCTCGGGCTCTATTGGCCGCTTCTCTTTCCTCGTAGTCCATGTAGGCTCTGGCCTTCTCGAGGAGGGCATCAAACGTTCGGGGTGGTTCGATGCCCACGACTTTTCTGAATTCGGTGCCAGGGAGGAGCCCCCTCTCCAGCAGGTATCTCTTCATATGGTCCATGCAGGGGACCTGGATGGCTTCCCGGTTGAAGCGGTTAATGAATTCTCTCAAGGTCTCATCGTGCTTTTGGACGATGGCCTCGAGCGCTGCTTTGGTCTTCGGGTGTCGTCGCGAAGCAGTGAACGAGCTGATGAACTGGTTCTTCAAGTTTCTCCAAGAGGTAATTGACCCCGGGGCGAGACCTTTGTACCATTCAATAGCTGCTTTCCTCAGGGTCGTGGGGAACAACCGGAATTTGATTGGTCCCCCGATGTTGTGGTAGTGCAGCATGGCTTCAAACCCGTCTATATGGTCGACCGGGTCGGCGACACTGTCATACTATTTTAAGTGGGGAGGCTTCTCCATTCCCGGGGAAATGGGCGCCTCCATGATAACTTGTGACAAGGGACCGCGGGGGTCATCCTCGTCACTTTATTTCGGGGAGCGGGACGAGGATCCGATGTATTACCAATCATGGTGGCCCTGGTCGTGCGGGACGTTCCTTGAGCGGTGTGATCGTTGATAATTTCCTCCGTGTATGTCTCCGGGAGGTCTTCGTTCTTTCCGTGAAGGGCCGTGGTCGCGCCTTCCTGCGTCGATGAGTGGTTCCCTCTCTAGAGGGGGTCATCGCCCGATTGGTCAAGGCGACGGGCTCCGAGAGATATCCCAACTTTGTCTCCGCGGGGGAGATCGGGGAAGTTCGTCCGTTTGTCGAGGGGGAGCAGATTGAGGACTCATGTGTCTTCTAGGGGGCCTTTGGTCGTCCTCGAGTGCTCTCAGTCTTTCCCCCTGGGAAAAGATGAGATAGTTAGTCTGGTTAATCGCCGTGAACGGTGCTTTGGTCGTGGCGTATGCCCCGACGGGGACAGGGACTTCGTGGAATTGGATGGCTTGGTAGTTCAGAGGAACTGGGTGATCTTCTTTAAGCCGAGGAGGGATTGATGAAGATGAAGCCGTGGCTCCGTCCCGGTAGTTAAAAGGCCCGGGGATGTTGCCGCCAGGGACCGTGTTATGGCTGGTGATGCCGGTGTTGTCGGGGCCGACATTATTGTCGGTGATGTTGTTGTTTGCTTCGATGACACATACGTTCTGGTTGTCCTGAGTATGGATAGCTATGACAGTCGAGGATTGTTAGCTTTTGTCTTTTTAAACGGAGAGAAGACGGGGGAGCTTAGTTTCCCATAGACGACGCCACTGATCGTACCTGATCAGAGTTAGACCGTCACAACTGGCTTTGAGTTGGATTTGAAGGAGATGGGGGATACCTGCAAGACACTCTGATGACAAAGTGAGAAACGGAATGAGCAAGCAAATAAGTGTATAGGTGTGAATAAATGAATACCCGACCCTCTCGAAATAGAGGGTATTTATAGCCCCTAACGCTGAACCAAGGTCCCTTTATTGGGCTGATCAAACAGGCCCGACAAAGGAACTGCCAGGTTCTACGTGAGTAGTGGGGACCTGCACGTGGTCCCCTACCTGGATGATGCTCTCCGCAGAATAGGGGGGTAGAGACGCGATCTTCCCGGGACCTTGAGGACTCCGCGAAATCCAGAGAGGTTGAAAGTCTTCCCTACGAGGAGGGTACTCGGGCAGAGCTTGGATTGGGATGTTCCTCATCGGGGACGTTCCTCGCGGGCACCGACGAGACGTAATCGCAGCCGACCAGTTACCCATGACCGGGGTGTGCTGGAGGATCTACTGCTCAGCATGATATGTTGACAAGCTTGGATTGGGCCTCACTGGTGATTGGGCCACGGGTAGGACCAGTCCAGAACACTTGGTATTTAAGATGAATGGTCATGGAGATTATGGTTCACTTGTGCATTATGGTTTCTTTATCTTTTTGTAGGTTTTGTTCAACTGAATAGGAAAAAGGTCATGATTAGGGTTTGACCCTCATACAAGGCCAATTGATGAATGTTCAAAGGCTTGATGTACATCTCATAAAGCTTTTATCCTCACTATTATTTGGATTCACTATACACATGTGATTGTTTGTTGCTTACAATACAAGTCACCCCTAAGGCCATCTCCTTATACATGTCATATCCACATGAATTAGGGTTTATTTCCCTAATCATGTGCCAACCAAGAAGGGTTCCTTGTGAAGTGAGAATCAGATTACAGACATCATAGTAAAGGCTCTGCATGTGAAATTGTTCATCAGATTAAGAACTATGATGAATGTAAATAGCTATGATACAATAAATTAGGTGGTGTGTTAATTATGTAATTCTTTGTGTTAAGCATGATTGTAATTTCGACAGAGTCAAAGTTGTGTATAGTTGATAGAGTCGAACTTACTTTATAGCAGTAGAATTTGCATTTATTTGACAGAAGGTCAAACACAACTTGTACTAGACAAGTTGTGTGTATTCGATAGAGAGTTGAATACAACTAGTCATAGTCGAAGCAGCAAGCATTTGACCGAGTTAAATAATAACTTGTTGAAGTTAGTTAGTCAGTTTTGAGATCGTGAGATGTGCAATCAATCTGACTATAAATAGGGAGGTAGCCTGCATTTGTAAGAACAACAATAAGATTCATCAAATTCATATTTTCTCCTCCCCTTTCTCCAAAACCCTGAATTTCACCCCTTCTCTTTTCTCTCTAAAATTATCTCCTCTCTCTTCAAATCTTTGTGCGAGGAAATCATCTTGCAACCAATAAGTGGTTGAATCACTGGAGTGAAGAGTGAAGAACGAGAATCGTAAATCAATCAAGAAAGTGATTGAAATTTTTTCTTTCAAAATTAGTTCCAACAGATAAATCATGTACTTTATAGAGATTTTGTATGAGTTGAAGCTCTTTTGCTTAATACTCCCCGACAACTTGATTGACAACAACATAGAAATCATTTTTATTTTTATCCTTGATGCACCCATTTTTAAGGCGAGTACCATACTGCCCGTGAGATCTTCGTATTTGTCCTAAGTATTACTAATTTTAAGTTCAAATTTCAATGATTACTCGATCAATATGTTACTTGAGTTTTCTAATTCGATCTCGACATAACTCTCTTTTATAATCGTGTTAATATTTAAAATATATATTAAATGTGGTGTGAAATATATATATATATATATATATATATATATATATATATATATATATATATATATATATATATATGAAATTATTGTATAAAATAAAAATTGCAATTTATATTTTCATGTATGTCGAATATAAATGGTGGAAAAGTCGGTGGTCTGAAATGGTCAAAAGTAAAGAGACACGTTATTATTAGTTCACACGTCAGCAACCATGTCTAAAATGAATTACAGTTGAAGTTTCTCAAAATTTGATTTCACACCGATAAGTACAATACAATCTTCCATATATCCATTATTTTAGATTACTATTTCATAACTTTTCTTAAAATATTATAGAACTGAAAGAAAAACACAATAATAATATTGAACATTGACGCAGACAAGAAGAAAGAAAGAGAAACCGTGAATATAAAATAAAACATCCATTGTTGAATTCAAATTGAAATATACTTGTGTCCCTCCCAATTCTCCCATTCATTGCAGATTAACCTAATTTTCAAAAAATTAACGGTGAGTTTCTTTTTCAATTTCATACATACCTTATTCCAATTCTTTCATCATCCGTTTTAATTTCTTTATTAACAATAATCATGTCTTCAATTATTCATATTGATTTTATCATCGTCATTCTAGATATTGTTTCTTTTTTTATAATTGAATTGAATTTCAGAAATGTTGTGTGCTTATGTTGCTTGTTTTTATGCTTGCAGTTTTCACTTCATTCAACAACTTGTGACTTCCAAACATTTACATGGGGAATTGTGTGGTTAAGGTCAGAATATGTATGATTTATGGTTATGTCATAAACTCTTAACACAATGCATAGTCTTTCATCATTCATATGACAGTAACAATGCAATATCGACATTTTGACACTTGAAAAAAGACAATCTAGTGAGAGTGTAAAATAACATGGAAATCTTCTTTCTTTTTTTGGACTGAAATAACAGCGAAACTTGGAAAAACGGCAACCTATTGATTTAAACTGCTTACCATAATAGAGTCTGGGGAGCGGTTGGAGTCCTCATAAGCATACGAGTCTCAGAATCTAGTTTGTTGAAGTCCTTGAACCGTATAAGATTTCTAACACATCTTTTTCGCATAAGAGTCTCTCACTTATAAACATATGTTCAAGTCGCATATTGTTTGATGAAAGACTCTTTAACAATATATTTGCTTTCACTCTTTTTTCGATGCCCACTCTATTCTTTTGTGTTGCCCTAGTGATTGTGAGAAACCCATTGACCTAATGTAACCTAAATGTTTTTTCTTTGATTAGTATCTATACACTTGGGGATCCATCCTTTGAAAATTAGCCATCAAAGGGGAAGAACCAAACTATTTACATTTTTCTTTGATTAGTTTTCTTTTTCGTTATGTATCAGTTTTTACATTTTTCATCAATAATTTTATTGACTGAAAGTTTCATATTTCTAATGTCTACAGTCTCACTCTCATGTCAAAGATGAAGATTCTGTTCACGTGGAATTTGCTTCTGGGAAGGTGCATCTTATTAATACCAAAGAATCTTGGGACCAAAAGTTAGAACAAGCAAAGGAGGAAAGACAAATTGTAATTTTTACTGTCTTTTTAATTTGTTGCACAAAACTATTAAATGTTCACTCAAAACATATTGCTGCCATTTTGTTGTTATGTTTGGCCAAACCTTATTAATTTTCCATGTTTTATCATGCATGCATATAATTGGTAAGGTTTTGATGATTGCTGAATACATCTGTATTTTCAGCTCTTCACAACATATGGAGCCACTATTGGAGTTGATCTTTTCCATAATGATAAAATATATGATTTAATTGCTCGCAGTTCCTCCGGTATATTTCTTGTCACGTATTTTTCTTTTCATGAGTACAGCAATTAATTCTATAACTTCATTTTCAACAGGTCATTGCAAATTTCAGTGCAACATGGTGTGGTCCTTGTAAGGTGATTGCACCATATTATTGCGAGTTATCAGAGCACTATCCATCCATTATGTTCTTACTAATTGATGTGGATGAACTAATTGTAAGTAGTCACACGATACATAGTAATACTATTAGTATTATCATTGTTTAATTGGACGTGTTTTTGTATATTCCAGGACTTTAGCACATCGTGGGACATTAAAGCCACACCAACTTTCTTTTTTCTTAGAGATGGACAAGAGATTGACAAACTTGTAGGAGCCAACAAGCCAGAGTTGGAGAAGAAGATTGCTAGTATTAATGTAGTTCCCTGTCGTCAATAGCGATTATTTTACCATCCATATTCATAAAAGTTATGCTCGACTCTTCTCTCATCAGAGCCTGCAGTGATATGTATTCAATGTGTAATCCTACAATATTGTCACTGTATTTTTTCTTAGCAAGTAAATATGCAGACATTTCAGATGAATATCTTGTATTCAATTGATATCGTTGTAGTTAAAAGAAGCTTATTTGTGACATAGTTGTTGCACGTACAGTACATTAAAAAGTTGAAAAACTTCATTAAAAATCACAGTACCTTAATGTTTAGCTAAAACAGTATTTCTATCAGGCAAAGTTATGTGGGCAAGTTTAATAACATGAAAGGTAGAATCAAATGCGTTCATCAGAATTTATGCATCAATTGTTGGACCGATAATTTGTCTCTCTTGTTATAGAATCAAAGAAAAGGCTGTGGTAATATCTGGTAAAAGATCCAACATTAAGGCTCGTCTCATCGTACCAGAGTTCTCTCTTAGATGTAGATAGTATAGGCTAGACGGATTTCTTGAAAGTATCTTGGGTAGTACGAACAGCGGTGGTTGAAGAAAAGTTATCATCGGAATCGACCACCATGATGAATGTGAAGGATGAACAAGAGATATTCACCATTTCCTATTACTATTTCTTTATCTTTTCCTCTAACTATCCTCTCACAATATAACTTTTTTTCCGTTAAAAATCATCCTGATCCTGGTATCATTACTAGACACTCCACAGTTTCTGAATTTTAGATATCGGCTTATCTTCTTTTTTGATTGATTTGATAGAAAAATCTACTTCCTCTTCAAGTGACTTGCATTGAGATAACTGCTGGTTTTTCACCTGTCCCGTAGCGCCGAAGGCAGAGGTGCCATGCAAAATGGCGACACAGATGGAGAAAGCTTGTAATGGAGATAATTTTGCATGGAAATCTACTGCATATTGCCCCTCTTCAACTAATTTCATGCCAAAGGTAGGACTACTTTCTTTGCTTCCCTGTGCACCAAATCAATTTTACAAAATCAAAATCACACTGTCAAATATTCATCCAAACACGAATTCAAAGTATCAAGAAGTTCACGTTTTACCTGAGGCTGAGAGAAAAGTTCAAATGGTTGATATTTCTCCACAAGATGGATATCTTCATGAAATTGAATACCAGGATTACCTAAAACAATAAGGGGACAAGCCATGTCCCAACCACCACAGTCACAACCTCCACCATGTCTCCATCGATCAAGTAATGATGAAGGACCCTCCCTTTCATCACTTGGCAGACCATGGTTTCCGATTGGTAATACCACCTTCACCTGCTCTATTACCGAAGAGATATCACTTGGTTTGGAAAATGCTTTGCCATCTATTCCATCCTCTCTTTTGTATTTCAAACTTTCTCTCTTATGAAACGGAATTCGCAATACAATAGCAGCACTTTCAAGGTTAGCAGCATTCAGAGTCTTAGAAGTATCTTGTTTGCTGCAGGATGGTTTTTTTGGTGAAGCACTTTTTCTGGAGTTTGTAAAATCATACAACACAAATTCTGCCACCATATAGTTTCCAAATACCTCACCTTCTAATGCAGAACATAAACTATAGGAAACTAGCATTTGTGCTATCATTGATGAATCTTTGTCACAACGTTGAGATTTCAAAAGTCCTGCATAATTGCTCTTCTTTCTATTATCAAAAGAGTGAAAGGTATATACCCAATTGAATGCACTAGTACCTACTCTCCATGTCTTTGCAACAAAGACATGTTTAGGAGAATTCACCTTAAACTCAAAATAAGGAAGTCCTTGTTTGTTTTTCAACTTGAGATTACCATGCAGGTGAACAGGTGAGCATGCTAGACTAGAATACTTGATATCTTTTGTTGTGTTGGAGAAGTCACTCAACAAAGATTTTTGACAAGCTATGTTTCTTGGAAATTTTTTTGACTTTATGAAAGGATTTAGCCTTTTTCTGATGGGAGGGAATGAGACTTTTGAACCCACTCTTGATGAACAATCACTTTCTGATGGATATTGCTGGTGAGAGTGAGATATTTCCACTTTAACTTTTTGAAGAGGAGAATTAGTAACCTTATCACTTGTCATCTTTGAATTTACAGAACCTACTTCTTCTACTACACTAGATTTTTTATCGCAGACATCTGAGTTTATGCACAATTCAATAAAACTATTTGATAAGCTGTGAGTCAAGGAACCAGAAACAGATGGAGATTGAGAACTCAATTCTGAATCATGAGAGGGTGCCTTAACTGAACCGCATGAAGAATGAAAATTGCTACCTGAAATTTCAACTTTTTCCCTTTCCTCCAATATTGTGGCCATTTAGACTTTAGTACCTGATTCGAGCTCTGATAAATGCAACCTCTTCTGTTTTCTAGATGATGAGATCTACATGGAAGGCTCTTGCATGAAGAATTGTTCTCTTTGAATTTCCCATTTGCAAATGGCTTGATCATTACATTCAAACAATGAAAAAGGAAAGAGAAAAGAGCATAGTGAAATGAAATAGTTGAAAGAAGGTGAATAGAAAATGATAGTTTAAAAGTTGAGCAGAATTTGAAGGTATTGAAGAAAGAACGGTTATGCAAAATAAATGCCGCCAAAAAGAAGGAATGAAAATTGTCTCTCACACACGAGAAGAAGAATAGTAGACTAGAGAGAGACAAGACAGTGATAATGTCTTTCTTTCTATTTCAAACACCATCATAGTGTTTCTTTTGTCTTCTCTGCTTATTTACCTTTATCTTGCTAAGCATATGGAATGGGACCACTGATCTAAGGCCAGCCAACTGTAACAACAGCTGCACAAAACAGGACAGACTTGTCCAATGTGTTCCTTATTTATCTTTAGACTTGCCAAGTGCATTTTTTAGGATTTTAAATTAAATTGAACAAAAATATCAATGGATCCTTTTTTTCATAGTTCTATCCACCGAATATAAATTTTATTCAAAACATTGTTAAAATATTGACTTTTGCCACTTCTCTAAAACAGATATTCAAACTTTTTTTCATCACAGTATAAAAAAAATACTAGCCTCAACTCATGTTCTTAACAACCAATATTTTAATATTTAGTTTTTAAAAAAAAAAAACAATCAATATTTTATATTTTTCTTTTAAATAATTACTTATTTCAAAAAAATTCAAATAACCACTTTTTCAAAATATTTACCAAAATGATCACTTTTCAAACAAAAAAATTTCGCCACACAGAGGAGTAGTCACTCTGTGTGGCGCATGCATGTATTTTTAAGAAGAAGCGCCACACTGCATGACTTGTCCTCCTCTGTAAAGTCATGCAGTATGGCGCATGCATGTGTTTTTAGAGAGAAGGCGTCACCCTCCTTGACTTGACAGTGTTATTGCATATTTTTTTTAGAAAATAAAATAAAAGTAATTAAAAAAATATTATATTAATATTTATGTTCTGGACTGGGCCTGCCCTTGGCCCAAATCACAAGTAAGGCCCGGATCCAAACCGTGCCTCAAGCTATGCTGGGAACCAGATCTCCCGAGCATACCCAGTCACGGGCCGTTATGACTATGCCCGCCGCTGCCTGCAACGAGAGGCGTCTCCGACACAGACACCCCAACTCGAGTCCTGCTCGAGCATCCTCCCCGTAGGACAGACTCGGTCCCTCCGGATGCTTCAGAGTCTTTAGAGCTCCAGAAAGATCGCATCTTCGTTCTTTCTTGTTCTTCGTAGAGCATCATCCAGGAAGGGGACCACGTGCAGATCCTCACTACTCACGTAGAACCTGGCAGTCCCTTTGTTGGGCCAGTTTTTGTCAGCCCAATAAAGGGACCTTGATCCAGCGCTGGGGGCTATAAATACCCTATGTTCCAAGAGGGTCAGGTATTCATTTTCATACACACCAATATACTTGCTTTCCTGCTCATTCCATCTCTCACGTTGTCATCGGAGTGCCTTGCAGGTACCCCCCACCCCCACCTCCTTCAAATTCACTTCGAAGCCAGTTGTGACGGTCCAATTCTGATCAGGTAAGATCAGTGGCGCCGTCTGTGGGAATCTAAGCTTTTCCATCTTAAAATTTTTACAAAGACCAAAGCTAAAACCATCTTCCACCGTCATGGTTGACCAAACTCGGGACGACCAGAACGTCCGCATCGTCGATGCTAACAACAACCTCGCCGACAAGAACGGTGGCCCCGACAACGCCGGCAACCCCGGGCATAATATACTTCCCGGGGGCGCCATCCCCGGGCCCTCTAACTACCGGGACGGAGCCACGGCTTCATCTTCCTCAGTCCCTCCTCCGCTCGAAGAAGACAATCCAGCTCCCCCTAAATATCTAGTCGCCCAATTCCATGAGGTCCCTGTCCCCGCCGGGGCAGACGCCACGACCAGAGCACTATTCACGACAATCAACCAGACCAACTACCTCATCTTTGCCCAAGGGGAAAGATTGAGGGTGTTAGAGAACGACAGAAGGCCCCCGAGGAGACACAGGAGGCCTCAATCCTCACCTCCTCGAAGAACGGAGGAACGTCCCCAATCTCCCCCGCGGAGACAGCACCGCGACATCTCTCGAAGCCCGTCGTCCCGACCCCCAGGGCGGAGACCCGCCTTGGAGAGAGAACGAATCATTGAAGCCGGAAGGCGCGACCACGGCCCTTCACGGAAAGAACAAAGGCATCCCAGAGACAGACACGAAGGAACATACCAACGGACACATCACCCGAGGAACGTCCAGCACGACCAGGGCCATCGTGACCGATCATATATCAGGTTCTCGTCCCTCTCCCCGGAGCGAAGTGATGAGGACGACCCCCACGGTCCCCTATCACAAGCTATCATGGAGGCTCCCATTCCCCCGGGCATGAAGATGCCTCCACACCTGAAAGAATACGATGGAGTCGCCGACCCGGTCGATCACATAGACGGGTTCGAAGCTATGCTGTACTACCATAACATCAGGGGACCAATCAAATGTCGGTTGTTCCCCACGACCCTCAGAAAAGTGGTAATGGATTGGTACAAGGGT